GAGGGAGATAAAAGTGACGGGGGGGAGGATAATAGAGGGAGAGGAGAGTGAAGGAAGGAGATGAGAGAAGGAGGATGAAATCCATGCCTAAATAATACAGAGCGAGAGAGTCATTTTCAAGCGTGTGATACTCCCAAGTGCCCCAGTTTCGGGGTTCAGTGAAACCGAGAGGAGGCTGGTAATGCAGACAGTTTCTCTCCTAAAAGCAGTGCAGCAGAAACACTTCCTCCAGGGGGCAAAGCTATCCCCCCCCCCATATCCACTCGCCCCCCCCTCAGCAGCTTGTAAACAAATGGTATGAAAGTGTGTCTTAGACTGGTGGTATATGCGGTATGGAAAAAATACAGTTTGTTGATCATATCAACCTTAACCTGATAACGGACGTGATACCTCATAACATCCTAAATTCAAGGAGATCGTCCATGAGTCCATACTGGGTGGAACTGGGATTCTTATAATGTTGTCGGGAAACAACTCATGATTTGCAACTACATGAAGACACGGTCAAAGGTAAAAGGGACACTGAAAGACGTCGAAATTGCATGTGAGAATAACCAGTAAAGAGATTTTAGTAAACCGAAACGATCGAGGACAGGTTTTTCTCATTTACTTCATTCTTCATTCTCACCAGTGTCTTGTACATCTTATACCGAATAATTACCGTCTTACATGATGCTTCTTTACCTCAGCACCCCAAAAGGGCTTGGTGTCCTATGGTAATTATTCACGGTTGGTTCGTAATTTTTCTCCGACATCATGAGTGCTCTGTCTTCTGTCTCATTATCCTCTTACTTAAGAGTAGTTAGTACGTCCTGACCAGAGTCTCCAGTTGATACAACTACTCCCTTCTACACGGCTCAGTAAGAGATAAAGCCTGACACCCGACTTTGGTTGTAAAATGTCGTTCTTGAAGTGTAGTTGAGACGAGGTCTCTCGAGCTTAGGTAGTGGGAAGTCGCGACTTACTTTTTTTACAAGAGGAGAGATGTGATGTATGAAACAGCACAGGTACGGAATTTGACAGTCGATCGTCTCGGAGTTCGAATCCAATTTACTTGTCAATTGATTAGTAACAGTAGAAAAGTCACCGACTTTATAAGTTCTTGTTGATATCCATAGCTGACCGTACTTTACAAATTATTAGAACTAGCTGGACTGTAAATGGTAGGTTTTACGACCGCTACCAGACCCTCACCGTCGAAGTTGAAGAGGTCTAAAGGTATAAATCCATTTTTTTACAGTCACGAAAAAAGTTTGTTTGGAAATACCTGTATTTGTAGTAACGTAAGTTTCGATAAAACCGGTCGGCCTGAGGTTCAAAGGAAGTCCGGGTAAAGGTCCAGACGTCTAGTATAAAGTATCACAAGGTTTCTTATGTTTAATAATTATTGGAGTGAAACTTACTGACATGTTTCACAACTGTTGGGGACGTCGTAGGTAGAGTGGTTCCAAGTGGTGTTTCGACCAGAGTTGTAACAAGAGATAGATACCCGTAATTGACATCCAGGTAACTGTCGCTGTTCACGTGAAGAGCTTCGACACTTATTTCGTGTTAGTAACTCTCGAATTAAAAATCTTCTCTTCCATAATGGGGAGCCGTTGACGAGACGCTTGTACCGGGTACAAACTGTACATTAACAACCCATCCGCGCTCTCTCTGAACTCTACCGTTTTATCCACTTCTAATTTAGCGCACGCGCTTCACTTAATTACGAGGCTATGGAACAACACATTTGTCATTCGGTCCTAAACAGACCCGATGTTCTAGTCTTTTCGTTAATTTCCTCGGTACCCGTTAAAGAGTGTCGATGAACAGGAGATTAGAGAAGTATAATAGGAGCTATTATATTTTAGTTATACCTTGCACGACATTACAAGTAGTGGCTTCGCGAGCTTCTTGTGGTGAAACTATCGCGTTGTCACTCTTAGCATATATCATCAACTTCAAACACAGAAAGTTCTAAAAAATTCTCTATCTATGTACAGGGACATTTTTAATACAATCACCACAGAGTACCACAGTCTGCCTTGAACTTGTACCATAAAGAGGCTCTTGTACACGGGAGAACACCTACTTACATACGTACGTAAAACACGTGTTTCTCTTATCTCCACGGACGATTACATCGTATAAACACAGATTGACCTAATGTCAGAGTATGTTAATGTACGTTACTTACTGTAATTGTAAACATTCATTGACATTTACTCAACTGCAATAAAATTTCGTCATTAGGCCTAATTATTATGAAAACTTTCATGAACAAGTTAATACTGGACGAATTTCGTACAATCCTAATAGTTTTCTCTTATACCACACTCATCTTCTGTTCAAGAGTATGTAATTAGTACCTTAATTACTAACACAAACAAAATGATACAGTTTATACATGCAAAGTCATTTCTATTACAATTTATATCACAAGCGTCTTTACAAATGTACTATTCTTCATTTTATTACACTTTTGGTCATTGTCAAAGCGTATCTGAGGTTAAACAACGTTTTTGTTTTAAATACTACTCGCTATTTTCACAACCTACGGGACGTACAACGCGGCTACCCGTTTTGACGTTTCGGTAACTTTCGTTTCCCGTCGGAACACAAACTGTACAAAACCAGGTACCAGCGTTCGGTTCTTCATATACACCGTATTATATCGTCCGGTTAAACTTTTTCGTGGAATAGTAATGGTTATAACAAACGTGTCAACGTTTAACTAGATGTGTATGTATTGCGAAAAACATGAACCTAATAACAGGTATTAAAGATTTTAGCTCATAATAACCGAAATTATTAGTCTCTACGTTAGGTCAAAGAAACCCCTTCACACTTTAGGTCGAAGTACCCCCGGATACATTCGTATGTGTCTATAGTTACAACGAAGCAACGCGGGGGAGAGGGAGGAGAGAGAGAGTGTGTGTGTGTGGGTGGTGTGTGTGTGTGTGTGGTGTAGTGTGTGTGGTGTGTGTCGTCGTGTGTGTCGTGTGTGTGTGTGTGTGTGTGGTCGTTCGGTGGTACGTGTCGCTGTAGTGTAGTGTGTGTAAGTGTGTGTGTGTGTGTGTGGTGTGTCGTCGTGTGTGTGTGTGTGTATCGGTGTGTGTGTGTAAGTGTTTGTGTGTGTTCATTGGTGTTGATACCCGACTTTTGTCTGCGGCAGTATTTGGCATCCTTTCTATTCTTAGAATATCAATAGACGACATACGGTAGGTAGCCTGGGTATTTGATCTCTGAGTGATAAAAGCGTAAGGAGTTTCGAACGACCTTGATTAATTTCATTAGGATAGACAGGGGTCTCCGAACATATTAATTGTTTAACGAGAGGAAGAGAAAAGAGAGAGACGTGGACCACGTCGGAAAACCGGAGAAACAATAACTATTGGCCGTGGTAGTCAAAAACTGAAGGGTGACTTAACAACACCCGGGGACATACTAATAAACTATTCTAGTTTGTCGCTACCCTTTTTGGTCACGGAGAAACTACCATGCGCAACATTGTCTTTTGTAGGACTTTCCTATCACCTAAAGGAAAGAAAGACCCGTCTACGTTGACAAAAGACTCTAGCCGAATAGATCTAACAGCCGGACCCGGTAAGAAAGATAGACAACGAGTATGAAGTGGTGTTACAGACGGACATCAGAAACACTACGTTTTCGAAGGAAAACTTAACAGTGACTTGACGACGTCCGAGTAGTTTCTGTTGTGTAGTTTGTTATTTACTACTATATAGTTGTTTGTGATTTTATTATTGTAGTATTTTTTTATTTTTTTCTACCCCCCTTAGCGTTTAAGTAAATTATTCCCCTTAATATGTGCGCCCGTGAAGTACCAGTAAAGATAGGTTACAATTGTATCCTGTATCACACAACGGAGGTTTAATCCTTTAACGTTACGTCTTTAGTTAAATCGTATTTTATGGATTTTGCTCTATTGAGGACACTTCCGATACCTGTGTATATATGGTAAATCTATATGAGACCTATCCGCTCTCGTGAATAAGTTAGTATAGATTTAACGGGACTGTATAGGAAATGTGTTGGAGAGCATAAATCACCATGCTCTCTCTCCTCGCTAGGAGGCCAGAAACGTAAAGGAAGTGAAGATGGGGTAGGATGAAGGTTCGAAGTAATGAAATGAAGGGAAAAAGTAACTAAGTTCTTAAGTTCCGAAAATCACAGTATTCTTTTTCATGTATCGATGTCACATCTAGTACTGTCTATCTTTTATTTAATCCGTTGTCCTTTGTGTTACTTTTGTCTACTACAATTACCTACAAGTAAGTTCTTCAAGTAACACAAATTGCAGATTACCGACGCCCCACTTTGACAGGGATATTTACAAAATCCAAAGATAGAGTAGATAAGGGCAAAGGAGGGTGACTGGGCTACACCCAAAGTCTGTAAGTTCTCCTACGAGGTGAGAGACTATGTTCGTCGTTCAGATAAAACATGTAGTCGGCCGCGGTTCTTACGGCCGTTTTTACGTGCCGCGGTTACACTTTCTCATGTTGCCGGTGACCTCGTGAGTGGCGTACATTAGGGTTCTCTCCCTCGCGCTCTCGCGCTCGCTCTATCATGTGGGAGTGTTTTTGTTTGTGTCGTGGTGTGTTTTTATTTTTCGAAAAGAGTGTTGCCAAGTAAATTTCACTCACTGTGCAAGTGGTATTTTTGTTGTCGGTGCGGTGTCCTATTAGGTTTCACGACGAAGTGTTTGTCGGCGAGTACTACCACGGTCTCTATCGTCCTCCGTAGTGTACAAATAGAGTTGGCCGTCATTTTGTTCGTAATCGTACACTTATCTCTCCCTTCAGTTGTCTCGTACAATTTCGTCCGCACCTCTAATTTACACGGCAGTCGCATTAACTAATTTGTGTTTGTGCATCTCGTAATGTACTACACACGTGAACAAAATCTGCGAAAATGGTTTCGAAGTGTATTGAGTTATGAAACCCGCTTAGGTGCCTCGTTAAACCCCTACTTCACAGAGTCCTGTCGGTTGCGTACGACTGACCGTCACCCCAAACTGGACATGTTGGGCTTGTGGTTTGCGCGTCGTTGGGGTCGACGTGGTGTGTATAAAACAACGAATTTCAATCGAGGATTGAAAACTTTCTTCAATGACGTATTTTCTCGTATAATTGTAGTTTGAGGTTGCGGACCACTCGTCGTGCCTTGACTTGTTATCAAGTTACAAAATTGTATGAATTATAATCCGTGCTATAGACGAATTTAGCTACAGTGCACCTAACGTAGGTTTTTATCCAGATTTTCAACATAAAGGTGAAAGGAATGAGCTGGAGGATTAGTCTACATGTGAGCTAAGTTTTTCTGTTTCTTTAATTTTTCTGAGCGGGTCCTTTTTATATCTCTCACCGCCCACCGGACTAACCGGTAAACTTTTACTTACGTAAAAAGAATGATTAAATAACTTGTATGTAGTTTTACCAATGGTGGTTGTGGGTGGTTGTTTTTTTATTTATTTTTTTTTTTTTTTTTTTTTTTTTTTTGTTTTTTTGTTTTTTTTTTTGTTTTTTTCGTTAAAATTACAATTTTTTATTATATCACCTACGAGAGACCTTCCGGAGCGGGCTGTTTATATTTTACATGCAAGTGCTATTCTCAAGACATAAATATTTTTATATCAAAGTAAATATATAATGAAAACTGTCTATGAGTCGTTGTTTTAGTTGTAAAAGACCATTTTTTTATACTTACCAATTTAATTCAATTTAGCAATTATCGGTACATAGTCAGCAAAGACAAACAAGTTTAGTTGCAGAACAGAAGTACGTCTTCATTTCTGACAAACTTATTATTTTCTCGTCACCTGATTTTATATGATCAAACTGTGTTAAACAGTGTAAAATTTTATCAATACACTTCTACTCACTTACAGTAGCTAGTTAGGTCATAAGGAGGTTACACCTCAAAGAGGTAGTCGTCTTAGAGAAGGCAAAGGTCTAATGAGTCATTGCTGGTGGTTCGTCGTAAGAGAGCGCCGAGTCTCTCACTACCACCCCACTGAATTTCACTCGTGAGGAGGTCCCCCCCCCCCGACAGGCAAGACGAACTGGAGACTGGAGTTACTCCACGGAGCCAACAATTCTACCGGCCCTAGAAATGGAAAAAAAAAAAACAATCGCACACGATTCTCCTTCGCCATTTACGGACCGTCTAGACCTGATTATCTTGTGGAATTGTTCCAGAAAATGCCTTTACCTCGAGGTTT